GAAAAGAATTAGTATATACACTGCAGAGTCTACTATAGTAAGGGTACAGTAATATTCCCCATGGTTTAAAACTAGTAAACAATAAAGCCAAAGGAGAAAGCAAGAGATAGAGTAGCCTAAGTACATGAAGATTCAAATTAAATCAACAAATAAAATACCAAATTTGTTCAATTTAAGGAAAAACAATATGCATTGGATGTTTTCCAACCTTAGAGGAAGGAAGATGCAAAGGACAACCAAGAAGTGCATCAATTCCGCCAAGAGATCCTTGATTGGCCAATCTCTCGACCTAGCAAAAATTGATCAAACACATAAGATTTGCTCCCATCAATGATCTATTTTTTACATGAAACGATGCACTTACTACAGAAAGTAGAACAAAGTTTGCTGGAAGAACTTGTAATGGTGAAGCGGATCTGCAAGAAATGGCGGTTGCATACATCAGCAGTAAGACACAATATTGAACCAAAAAAAATAGAGAGAGAGATCGGGTGATAAGCAAAATCTATCCTATGAAATAATGATTGATGTCTGGATTTAAGGAAACCTTCTTGCTGAGCAAAAGAAATATTATTCTTCATGATAAGATAAGATATTAACATTTAAGAAACACAAACAGAGAGATAACCGTGGACATTCCTATTTAACCGCACATTGGTGCTCTGTTTTGTTTCCAAAATGATCTCAAAGAGAGAGCTTTGGAAAGGCAATCATCCAAAAGACACATGTAAACAGCAGAGTTACCTAAAAGAAGGGAAGACAAGTGGCAAAATGTTTAAGCATACAGGTGACATATTTCCATCAAGGTTCATCCATAGTTCACCTGCATTAAGCACAATAGAAGTTTCAAGTATCTTAAATTAACTTTCCAACTTTATAAAACTAATTTGAGGAAGATAGTGGAAGTGCAGAAATGTTTGTGAAATATCTTACCCTCTAAACCAGCATAGAAGTCTTGAACAGGTAGACATCCAGCATCAAGATCAGATAAATATATTGATTCAAAATCTCCTACATGTTTGCTGACCCTAGAAAACAAAACAGTACTTAGTCTTGTTTCTAAATAATTTAGTCTTTATTTGTGACTCACCATTCCATTATGGTTGGATGAAGACTTCTGCTTTTCAGTGTAGAAACCAGTTCATCATAAAACATGATCAGTGATAAAGGCAACTGTTTGCAAGAGTCCAAAGATAATTTCAAGAGCTCCATAGCATCTTCATAATTTGACTTCTACAAAGAAGATTTGTAGGGTGAGCAATGAAGAACCTTAGGGCAGATAATCACTAGAAAGCATGAGGTTATCGATTAAGAATACAGCAATGCACATCTCCAACTATAAATTTCTCCAGAGACAACTGAATAAAAGCAGGAATAGGATTTCTTATTCTTTTCATCTTGACAAATTATTGGTGCTTACTCATCACAACCATTTAAGTATTGAAATTAATACTTAGCCTGCACAGCGGTAAATATCCTTCAACATTCATATGGTTTATGATTTTCAAGTTTCTCTCCTATCTCAGTTGCTGCTGAACTAGATCGCATAATCTCTATTGCGTTGCATTTTGAGAGCATATATTATTTCCCCTGGCATAAGGGATCAAGTGTTAAAAAGTATATAGACATCTGTTTTCATCATTTCAATCAAGAGGGGACTAGAATCTGCTATTGGATCATCTCATCCAAGCATAGTTTACGCTTTCCAAATTGTGATAGGTCATAAAAACACTAGAATGTTGTTACCGAATTATCTGAAAAAAATTATGAAAACGCTCTCAAACCAGCCATCAATAATATATTTCACAATTCATATATGCTGGGTTTGGTCAGAAAACCAGATGCAAAGGTTCTTTAGTTGGCAGGAACAATCAGTTTCACATGTGACAAATATGAAGAAGCCAGATATTCTAGCAATAATTATCCAAATAACTTAAGCTCTTGATTGAGCCCCATTATCTAAATACTCATTTCCAACATCACGTTCTCCCAATAAAATAATTTTGCACGTAAACCCAAAACATTTCCATACTTTTTAACCACACATTCTCCAAAAAAATCACTATTACAACATCTATTTTCCCCAAAAATTGGGGCTCAAACAGAGGCTAAATAACATTTTTTCACTTGACAAGGGAAAAACAAAGAAGAAAGCCATCCCACTACTCTTTTAAACTTCGTAGTGCAAATCTAGCAACAAAAAAACAGAAAAACGAATACTCAAGAATCGTGATAAGAAAAAATATAAGAACTTTTGGCATATAAATTGGTGATATGAATAAATAGAATGGAAAGAGAAAGGAGGAGGCGGAAAGGGGGAGGGCAATAGTGTAGAGGAAAAAGACAGTTGGGGCATGCACATGTAGTAAGAAGAAGTCAACAGCTTTGGGCAAAATGGGATTCCTGAATCCACTTCATTCCAGCTCCATTAAGATTCAATTACTCTCACTTTTCTTAATATAATTGGCACTCTCAATCTGATAACAGGGTTGAGAATTTGAAGGTATTTTACTGGCTGTGGTTATTCTGGCTAAATTCAGAGTTTGCATTTACCAGGCACTCCGAAGTTACTATAACTCTATTCTCATCAACATTATTGAGATCATAAAATTCCCCAAGTACAGAAGTCAATCTATTAGGTTCTACACATGTGTACATACAGTAAGGAAGTCCTACAACCTCAGCCGTTGCAGTTATCACCTAGAGTCCAAGAAGAACTTTAAAAATGGGTAACACAAGAAATTATCAACCAGGAAGAAGCATAATAATAAGGGTGATAAACATATACAGAGTATGTCGTGCCTGTGGTTGTATTGGTTACATATCAGGCAGGCTGTAACTTAGTTAGCTCATTGTACTATCTTCTCAGTGATCACAAAGTAATCAGCTAAGAACAAGGGGATATAGCATCTGCCATCTGGCAACTCTATCAATTTAATCAGTTGATTTTGTTTTTGTTGTCATTAAATTAACATCACACCTCAACAAGGATGGAAACTGAATAATATAAATGATTATTGAACATTGCGGGATCTGAAAAAGAAATCTGTAAATGCATTGAACTGTGTGTTTATAACATTTACCTGTGATAAAGATGGAAGGGAAGTGTTATTGGCATCTGCAAGATAGGAAACTATCTTAAGAGTTCCAATTAGGCCCATTTTCTTATACATCAGATCAGGATTACTTATCTGCACAATTAGAAGCCAGCAGCTTAGCATGAATAGAGACATTTATGCAACGGGAAAAAATAAATACATAAATAAAGCAAGATGAGCAAATAAAGAAAGAAGGACGGTGCCTTTATGGCTTTAAACATTGACAGTTATACAGAGAAGTTAATGTAGGATAATTTTTCAAATTTACCTGTTTTCTCAAAATCATTAGAAGTTCATTTGCAATAGAACACTCATAAGGCTGGGAGCTAGATCGAGTTGAAAGTGCAAGAATGGTGAAAACTTCATACACCTGCAACATGAAATGTTTTAACAAAAGAACATTATCGCGAGAAATGCTGCGGAATCACATTGTTAACAATTGTAGAAAAAATAAAAATCAAGATATTCGTAACCTTGTGAAGGCTTTCAACATTTAAGCCCTCCAAGTAATCCAAGATACCTGTTAAATAGGTAAACGGGAAAAGAATTAAGATACTACTTTGGTTAGAATGAAAATAAGTTCACACTGAAAAAAAGGTGGAGTACCAGTTATATGAGAATAGAATGGAATCAACTCCTTTGAATTCTTGGAGGCCAGCTTAACCATGGTCTCCAAAGCAGCGCTTACTTCACGATTGATTCCAGAGCCAAGATGAGCTATTAATGCTCCTACAACCTTCAGAAAATTGCGTTGTTTAGGACTCTGAGCATGAAGCAAACTCCTAATCTTTACTTCCTGATAAATTAACAATGAATGGCCAATGAACTAGTTGACAAAACAACTTACTTCCTGTCTTGAGTAAGCATCAACAAACCCTTCAAATAGACACATATACATGTGGATGCCGAATTCCTGTACTCTTTGCTCTTTACAAGCCAATAGGTATGCAGATATTGATAGGAACGTGGGAAGATAATCCTATTCATAGTAAATTAAACTCAGAATAAGCCTCGTGATGTATAATGTTCTTGATAATGTAAAGTAAAATCCGGTAACCACCATACCTTCGACAAATCCTTAATACTGTTGATGTATTGCTCAAACATATCTTCATGTATACAACCTTCAACTATTTTCTTCTTCAAACGCAAGATCATCATACAATGCAATATTNAACCTTCAACTATTTTCTTCTTCAATAACTTTTCAACATTCTTTTGCAAAGATTTGTTGTTCATGTATACAAGTGTAAGCAACCATATATCAATCAACTTATGATCCTGAGCTTCCTCAAGGCCTGTCAGTTCTTTAATTATTTCCTGGCACAGTATCTATAAATAGCATTATTTTCAAGGAATGCATTTCAAAGAAAATATACAAATGAGGTAAGTAAAAAGACAAATATACACATG